GCAGGAAAGAACAGAGGTACTGGCCAAATTAAACACCTATAAAAACTTAGGATGTTTTCACTTTTTGTTACTACGTTTGAATTTTGTGTCCTCTTTCTGCATAGTTCTCGAAAGGGCATTTCATAGGGAAGATTTTTCACAAATGGCACATCTCTGAGTTACTAAAACTCGTGTTCGCAATTAAACACTTAGAACTCAGCGCATGTTGAGGAAGGGCAACTAGGATGGGTAAAAAATAAACACCCAAATGAAATGATTTGTTCAAATTCAAAGATGCTTTTAGCATTCATTTGTGTATGTATCTCAAGTCTGATGAGGAAAGAGGGAAAAAAACAATTTTCAGACTCCAATAGAGGAACAACAAATGTTGATCTTTATTCCATGCAGTCTGGGCCTCTTCTTACTTTTTGTTGGTTAACTTAGGGAAGTAACGGTTGTTTTCCCTCTCTTTCTCTTCCTTCCCCTCTTTCTTCTTTTGGGAAACAATTCTATATTTCATCCTTTTTATAAATCTCTACTAGAATCAAAGATTTTTAAAAATGTGTTATAACAACTAAACCCACAGTGACTTTACTGTATAGCCCTTTCCATTCTTTTTCAATGTTTTATACATGTCTTTTATTCCTTGGCATCTTGATCCTCAGATTAGAAGTTCCCTCAAATCAATGAATCTGTTCAGTTGTGTTTGACCTAGTCGCTTCATGGATAGGACCGTATATTACATTCCTACAGAGTTCTGACGTTCCTCCTGCAAGGCAGTTACTTTCCTTTCCTATCCTAAAGGTGTCATCCCTCTGTGTTCCCGCATTCACAGGCTGGATTGGAAACTCCACTGTCAGTCCACTTGCTGCTTCTTCAAAGGTAATGGAACTTTCTGGCCTATTAATTAATTTATTTATTTGTCAACATTTCACTCCCTAATGACTTGACATTTGCTTAATAAAAGGGGTGGTCCCATGGTCGGCTTCGCTTGGAAAATCCTGCGTTAAACAAAATTAGTTGTTTTTTGTTGAATGCGGATCACATCAGTGATATGAATGTACAAATGTATTTTGTAAATCTCCAGAAAAGGGGTTTGGTATTCTCTGTTTTTCAAAAACTTTTCATCTTTTTTTTTTTGAGGGGATGGAAGGCTCACAGATCAAGGGTTTAAGAAACAAAATTTGGTAAAAACCAGATGAAAAACATCTGTAGAACACGAATGGGCAGTGCGGTACAAATAGCCTGAATGTCAGTAAAATCGTCAGTAGCCTGGGGGACCTACAAGGACTGAACGAACAGGAAGAGAAGAGACCAGAACAGGACCATAGAGGATACTGAAGACTGTCAGATTGGAAAAAAGCATTCAGATCCATTTTATTTAATTTTTATTTTTAAAATTTTTATTTTATATTGGAGTATCGTTGATTAACCATGTTGTGTTAGTTTCAGGTGCACAGCAAAGTGATTCTGTTATACATATCCATGTATCTCTTCTTTTTCAAATTCTTTTCCCATTTAGGTTATCACAGAGTACTGAGCAGAGTTCCCTGTGCTATACAGTACAGATCTATTTTAAAGCATCATGCTGGCCATCCAAAGCATTCCCACAGACCTGCAGTTTTCTGTCCTTGCCAGGGCTTCATGGAGCCCCTCTTAAACACCACTGGCCCAGCACGTGACTCTCAAGCTCCTTACCGTGTTTTAGATCAACTTCTGGTTCCTATTGCTTCACTGCCTCACTTTTTCCCCCTGCAGCCTTACACTTTATGCCCCAGCAACACAGGACTGCTTGCACCCTCCCATTTCTTGCCTTTATACCTTTGGTCATTCAGTGTCTTCTACCAGGATTGATCACCCTGACTTTTTCACCTGATTATTGCCTTATCTTCAAACATTCAGCTAAGGTCCCTTGTCCTTAGGAAGCTTTTCCTGATAGCCCACCACCCCCAGGCTGTCTGTCACGCCCCACTACTTCTGTCTGATTCTTTATTACATGATGTGCATATGTTCACCATTGTTCTGAAACTTCCTTTTATGATCTTTACTTTGCTCCTCTGTCTCACCTACTAGACTGTAAGCTCCCTGAGGGAAGTCATGACCTTTGTATTCCTACTGCCTTAACACAATGCTTCATGAAGCTCTGTGAAATGAATGAGTAAGTAAAAAAAAAAAAAGAAAATAAACGTCTCTGACATTCCAATAACAGAGGGCTGAACTGGGGAGAGCACTAAGTGTTAAATAGAAAACTACCCCAAATAACATCACTCTCTAATTATACTGATAACCTAATCTGACTAGGAAAACATACAGCAAACTTAAGGGCATAACATGCCCAGACAATAAGGAGAAATAGATATATGTATTTTTTAAGGCTAATATTGTAGAATTTTATTATCAAGCTCATAGAACTTAAGAAAATTTGAACCTGAGTGACTTTCAGATTTTATGTAATTATCTATACACTAGCAGCTCTGAAACTTTTTAGTCTCAGAATCTGTTTACTCTCTTACAATGGAAACTTCCAAAAGCTTTTTTTTAATGTGAGTTGTAGCTGTCAATATTTACCATATTAAAAATTCAAACAGAGAAACGTTTGCTCATTTGCGGTAACAACATTAACTTTACTTATGAAACATAGATCATTTTAAAAATAAAAATATAAGTGAATAGGATTGCATTGTTTATGTTTGCAAATCTCTTTAATAGAAGACAGCTGTATTCTTCTGTCTGCTTCTGTACTCACTCTGATGTGATACATTATTTTTCTCAAAGTGTATGAAGAAAATACAGCCTCACACAAACATATAGTTAGAAAAAGCAAGAATATTTTAATTGCCTTTTCTGATAATTGTGGTGTTTTCCTTTTCTACTACACCAGAACTCAACAAGTGGTCACTTCTTAGCCATTATTTGCACTGTGGAATCTAAAACCATCAGTGGAGTTTTCCTCCTCTGTTACAATAATATCCATTGATCTATATTTTTATTTGAATGGTTATTTTACCCAGGGATGAGTTGTAACACTGGTCATTTGGAAAATATTCATTCACTGAGTTCCACAGATTTTCTAAGTGTTGACATATTTCATTACACAATATCAAAAACCTACATTCACTAATATCACCACTGATTTTATCAGGAAAGTCTTTAGTATTGGGAAGCTGTTATGTTCACAGAGGCTAATAGGAGTTTTCCAAAGTTCTAATTTGTCCTTGAAAGCTTGAATTGTATTGGCAACAAATACTGCCAATTGATTCTCCTGAACTGGCAGACTCACTTTGTTCATTTTTCAAATGAACAAATACCCAAGTCTGAAAAGCATAAATGTTTGTCATTAATTCATCTTGCAACTTGAACAATGACTTGAATGCTTTTTCTTATGACAGTCCTACTAAGTTATGTAGCAGAAGTTATGTAGCTTCAATGCATGCATCCCATTTTGTCCCATGTAATATAAAAAAATGTATATTCAAGTATTAAGACTTAACAAAAATAATAGTTTTTACTCCATCAAAGATATTTTTTTTAAAAAAGACTCTGAAGTGTGTAGCAGTGAAGAATATATGACTACTAACACAGTTTTCATGTCAACTGTACTGATATATGCTATGGCTCCAGCATTTTTACATTAGTGCAAATGCCTGCAAAGTAGAAAAGCAAGTTATGATCTTAGTATTACTGTAAAGGTAGCTCAGATCTTGAGGATCCCCTGAATGGGTCTCAGGGACCTCAGAGGTCTGAGGACCACGGTTTGAGAACCACTGATCTGTTGGATGGAGGCATATGTTGGCACACTCTACATAGTCCAGCCTAGTTCTGTTAGATTTGGCAAACACTTGGTCAAAAGGTCTTGGAGACAGTTTTAAATAGG